CGCGGGCATGTGATGGGGACGCGGGTGTGCAACGGGGACACGGGGGCGTGATGGGTGCACAGGGGTGTGATGGGGACACAGGTGTGCAACAGGGACATGGGGGGATGATGAGGACACGGGTGGGTAATGGGGACACGGGTGTGCAACGGGGACGCGGGCATGTGGTGGGGACACGGGTGTGCAACAGGGACACAGGTGTGCAAAGCAGACACGGGTATGCAAAGGGGACATGGGTGTGTGATGGGGACACAGATGTGCAACAGGAACACGGGTGTGCAATGGGGCCATGGGCCTGTGATGGGGCCATGGGCGTGCGGTGGGGACATGGGCATGTGGTGGGGACACAAACATGCAACAGGGACACAGACGTGCGAGGAGGGGACAGGTGTGCAATGGGGACATGGGCGTGAAATGGGGCCAAGGCATGCAACAGGGACATGGGCATGCGATGGGGACATGGCCACATGCCGGGGACATGGATTTGGGATAGGGACATGGGCACGTGGTGGGGACATGGGCGCGCAACAGGGACAGACGTGCAACAGGGACATGGGTGTGCAATCGGGACGTGGATACGCAATGGGGACATGGGTGTGTGATGGGGACATGGGTGTTTAACGGGGACACGGATGTGTGGTGGGGACACAGGCATGCAGCGGGGATGTGGAGATGTGATGGGGATGCGGATGTGCAAGGGGGACATGGGCATGAGCTGGGGACACAGGCGTGATGGGGGCACATGATGGGGACACAGACACGCAATGTGGACATGGGCATGGGATAGGGACACAGACATGGAGTGGGGGGACACATGTGGTAGGACATGGGTGTGCAATGGGGACAGGGACGTGTGATGGGGACAGGGATGTGCTATCGGGACCCTGATGTGCAACAGGGATGCAGCTACAATGGGGACAGGGACATGCTATAGGGACACGGCCATGCAACGGGGACACAGCAGTGATGGGGACATGGCCATTCAGTGGGGACAGGGACACATGAGGGGTACCCTGCTGCGCCACGTGCACGTGGGGGCAATGCCACCATCCCCCCGTGCCGGGTTGGTGCCTATGAGGTGACACCCCATGGGACCGGTGACAGGGAGCAGGGGGGGAGCTGGCACGTCTCCTGGGGGTCACATCAGTGACCACACACGGAGGGGACATTTTCCTCCCGTCCTCGCTTGGCTGAGCCCCGGGGCGAAGGTCTCAGTGAGGAAACTGAGGCACAGAGCGGGTGCCCTCCCCGCAGCTCTCTCCTATCCAGCACCTGCTCAGGATGAAGGCTCTCCTCCTCCTCCTCCTCACCCAGCTCTGCTCATCATCGCTGGTCCCCGGTAGGTGAGGTTTGGGGGGGGGCTGCACCCCAAAAGTGGGTGCTGTTGGGTGCTATGGAGCCCGGTTCCCCCCCCACAGAGAGAGAGAAGGACCTTGAAAACGGGGGGGGGCAGGCACAGGAGCCCCTGCGGGCTGCCCTGCGGCTCCAGCGCCTCAACCAGAACGTGGCCAAGAACCTCATCCTCTTCCTGGGTGACGGTGAGACAGGGGCACCCGCCCCGGGGTGGAGGGGAGGAGGAGGAGCAGGGGCTGCAGGGGACAGGGGCTGCGGTAAAGTGGGTGCAATAAAGTGGGTGCTGGGATAAATGGGGTGCTGGGATAAACTGGGTTTGCGATAAATTGGGTGCTGCGATGAATTGGATTTGCAAAAAACGGGGTGCTGGGATAAACTGGGTTTGCAATAAATCGGGTTTGCAATAAACTGGGTTCTGGGATAAACTGGGTTTGCAATGCACCGGGTGTGGGGATAAATCGGGTGCCCGCCAGCGCCGCATGACACCCGTGCGGCGAGCTGTCCCGTCCTCAGCGGGGAGCTGACGGGTGCCCTGGCCCAGGCATGGGCGTCTCCACCGTCACGG